CTAATCATCATACCTTAGGTCGAGAAGGATATTTACCACTTGGCTCATTGAAGGCCTTGCATCCCTATCGTCTTCAGCACATTGTAAAGCAACTTTCACCAGATTAATCAGTGCTCTCGTATCATATTCACCACAGGTCCTACCATCAACAATTTCCTCAATCCATGCTCCATTTTGGCTTCCGATATGTTCACGAATCTTCGACCTCACCCACTCGACCAATGTTTGGTCTCTACCACTACTACTGCCTTCACCAAGTTGCAACATTTGTAGTGGGCTCTTTCCGGTTATCATCTCTAGAACCACCACCCCATAACTGTAGACATCTACTTTTGAGGTAATCGGAAGATTAAACACCCATTCAGGAGCCATGTAACCTCTCGTACCTCGAATCCTGGAAAAGCATGAATTCTCTATTGCACCTCTATCAAACAACTTAGACAACCCGAAATCCGCCACCTTTGGATTGTAATCAGCGTCAAGCAAAATGTTATGGGGTTTGACATCACAATGTAAAACCCATTCCAAGCACTCTTCGTGTAAATATGCAAGCCCTTTTGCAGTGCCAATTGCTATTTCTAGCTTCTTTCCCCAATCAAGTTTATTGGAATTCAAGCATGTTGCCAATGATCCGTTCTCCATATACTCATAAACCACTAGCCTATGCTTCCCTTCAATGCAATACCCCCATGTCTCTATCAGATTCATGTGATTGAGCCTACCAATTGTGCTTATTTCTGCTTGAAACTCGGCTTCGCCCTGGTGAATATTACCCTCTTTGAGCATCTTTATTCCTGCTGTTCTGTCATCCGATAATTTCCCTTTATAAACTACACCCGCGCCACCTCTCCCTATCTCTTTGCTGAAGTTTCTTGTTGCGGTTTTCAGCTCAGTGTATGTGAACCTTTTGAACCCCGATGCTATCGGGAAGTAACTTTTGGCAGTTCTAAAGGAGTCTTTTAGAGTGATATAAAAGAAAATTAATACCAAAAGGACCTCCATGATTCCTATTCCATACACAAACCATAACAAGAATTTCAGAGAACTACTTGCATGTTTTTTCTCGTAAGACCTTTGAATGGGCATGATTTGCTGCTGTTCTGGACAAATTAGGTTAGACCCCTTGACGATTAATGCTTGTTGAGCAGGTGATACCAACTGTTTTGGTAGCTTAATATACATTGGATCTCTGAAACCTCGTTGATATCCATTGTATAACAGACTCTTCAGGTAACAGTTATAGTTATAGTTATAGTTGGTGTTCTCGAATTTGAATTGGAACCCTTTGCACTTGCAGTCATTCAAGCAGGCTTGTTTGCAGGCTTCAAGGGTGCTGTTCAGAAGAACGCTCATATCGAAACCATAAAACTCCACAAAACGAAGCTTAATGTAATCTTCCGAAACCTGTGCGCAAGTTCTGAATTTGGGTTCGCAACCGAAGGTCCAATCGGTCTGATTCTTCCTCTTATATCCAGGCACGCAGGCACATTTCCTTCCAGTTTCTTGAGAGTAAGTACAAAGACTGTTTGGTCCACATACGCCATGAATCTTGCAGGAACCGGAAAAAGCTTGCCACTGAACCTCCCACTTCTTTCCTTCTTTCTGATGATCAATAAGACTGTAAACCCTAATATTACCATCATAATCAAGCTTCATTATTCTCTGGCGACTCATGCCAAAATCCCAGACAAAGAAACCCAAATCGTCAGATGAGTTGAATTGGCCTTGAGAATCCAGTTTTGCAATTCTACTATTATTGTAAGCGGATCTCCCGGCTTCCCAAGTTTTCTGATAAGGTGGAGGCCAGTAAACACTCGTTATCTCCGGACTGTTGTAAAGAAGACTGAGAACGTTGTTGTTCTCAAAATAGAGCCTAAAGTACCCAGAAGAGAAATTGGCATTACTTCTTGAAGAAATCAGCTGTGAGTTTTTGGTGAACAGTTGATCAGGTAAAAGCGTATCTGTTGGATGATCGAAGCTTTCCCAAACAGGTACTGAATCTCCATTAACTTCACGTAAAACAAGATTTCCAGTGTCTTCAAGTTGTAAACTGAGCGAACGGCTAGTATTTTTTGTCTCTGTTGACCAAACAATAGACTGATCTGCGTCGTGTAAAACAAGATCACCATCGTCCTGGAGGGAAAGTTTGGAGTGCTTTCCATTAACTGGCATATCTCGGTTTGCCATCCAAATTACAGTGGGATTCATGTTTTGCGCAAGTGGCTCAGTGAACCATATCGAAAAACAATAAGCATTTGTGCCCACCTCGTAAAAGCCAGCAGTGAAAAGCTTGTTTGGTGAAACCAGATTATCATCTTTGCGATCAACATAGACTGATGAACCTTTAGATAAAGAATGTGTGGGCGAAGAAGGAGAAGATGAATACGTGAAGAGGAAATTGTAAAGAATTATCAGAATAGGAATATGCCAAAACATTGATGGCAAAGCCATAACAGTATATTGTGTAGGATCGATGTGATGATACTTATCTTTTTTAGAGCAGGTTAATAAGGGAGAAGAAAACAGCAAAGAAAAATGATTGAAACATGTTACTTGGTTTCTTGATGAAAGAAGCGTACTACGTAAGCAAAGAAACGAAGAAGATGACTACCATTATTTTTATGACTAAAACTGTAGAATATCAATCGAATTTATACTTACTAGCATCTCCCTTATTTACTCCTAGACTTTGTTTAATGTCAAATAACAAACAATTTTAATTCACGACTCTCCAATTCACTTCGATAATCACTTAGTAGATTCGTACAAATTTATGACGCCACGGTGAGTTCTGTGACTTTTGGCACTTTCCATATTGTCACTTTTCACACGGCTATTAAAACCAAAGCTAAAACAGCGGAGAGAATTTATTATACATATTTAATTATTCGTTAATTATATATGTTTTTGTGTCTCAAATAAAACAATTTTTTTGTTCATTATGCTTACTAAATAAAAAACAAAATGTGAAAAGTGGTCTCACGGCTAGCATGATAAAGAACACTCCATGTTCGTTTTATAATCTCAAACGATTTGAAATGTTTGATCCAATCAATGGCTGGTTGGTGCTAAAATAGGAGTTCATTGATTAAAGCCCAGCCCATTATGTTTCTTTATTTGTAATCCATCACAACTTTTTATATTCGATGAGTTCATTATTAGAGCATATATATGGGTCTTGCAAATGAAATTGCAAATCACTCTCAAATGACATGTATGTCCACATATGTATTAGTCTTGTAAATATTGAAAATCTTTCAAATGGTAAGTGGGCCCTCTATATGTTTTAGTCTATATATGTATTAGTCTTGCAAATGTATTAGTCTTGTGGGTAAGTGGGCCATCTAAATGTAAATATTGAAAGTCTTTCAAATGGTAAGTGGGCCCTCTAACATATGGACCATTTTTGATATGGAATAATCTTGCAAATATTGAAAGGCTGTGGATTGTGGATGATCTTATATTTTTAAAATTTTAAATGTTTATTTCATTCATTTCAAGTATGATTTGAACTCTCTGAATTTGTATAACGTATTTTCGTCCGTATCAATTGGCTAACAGTCACTTTGGTTGATGAATTTGATACCTTATAAAGAGCCTTGTTTTATGATACCAAATTCTTACGCATTTTACGTTTTAAACTAGTAGAATTTTAGCAAGTCACTTTTAATTCGCATTATAGATTGGAATATCTTTTGTGGTGCAGACTTGTTCGTGCAAGAACTTTCAAACTGAGTACCCACGCAATGTAAAACAAACAAATATTGACGATAACGCTTTTGGAACTTTTCGAACCTACCTTTCGGCACTGCATCAACACTAGAATCTTTAAAAGTAAACGTAAAATAGATGGGACAAATTATTTTATTTTTTATATCTTTGTGTCTTAACTTTAAAACCTTCTAGATCAGTCACTTGTTAAATCAAAAATTTATGAACATGAGATTAAAAGACATTGGCTTCAATATACTTTATTCCATGTGCTAGAAGAGATGGTTATAAATTCATATCATTCATGACAATTCATATACACTGACGACTTCTTGATTGCTAGGAGTCTTGTGGACTATAACTTTAAACCCTTGTCTATCAATATTGGCCCACTTCAGAAAATTGCATGGTAACATAACATGAGTTGAGTTCATAAAATTTCTCATTGCAGTTTCAAAAGTTAATCAAAGAAAACTTAGGAAATAGGTTAATTATGTTGGTTCATTCAGTATTACATAATCCTGTTTGTAGTTTGTTGTACAAGAATTTAAAATCTTATAGATTTTAATTGTTTTAATTTGATTTTGATTATAGCGCAGGGCGGACGCAGGAATTAGTAGTAGGGATTGCATAATTTTTTTATTTTCTGGTCAAACATAATATAAAACATTAAAAAAATCGGTTAAACATAATATAAAACATCTAATACAATTTTTTTTTCTGGTTAAACATAATATAACAACGATCTAGTAGAATTTAAATTTGTCCTCTTCGTGTTGACATCTTTTGAAACCGCTTCATTACTTTTTCATTCTCAACTTTCGCAAGTGTTGTAGTCTCGACATTACAAAGCAATGCGTCGTTGAAAAATTCATCGCTAATTTTGTTACACAAGTCGGTCTCCAAGAGCTTAATATTTGAAAAACATCTTTCTATACTTGCGGTCACTACGGGTAATATCAAAGCCAACTTTAAAAACTTATAAACCAAAGGATAAGATCGGAAATTCCTTTTAAACTAGTGAAGCGCTCATCTATGATGCAAGAGTGATAGAATATCTCAAGTTGTCTTTCAAGGTCTATCATATCTGAATCATCAAAGTTGTACTTGTATAACTTACTCAACTTCAATAACTTTGATTTGTCAAATTGTGCAAATGAATCACAAGGGCTTAAAGCACCCATATATTCTAGTAATTTGCATACCTACCACTGTAGGTTGCATACCTATCACTGTGTTGAAGATTTCAACCTCAAAATGAAACTTATTAGTTGTAACACCCGGTTTTTGAAAGTGTTCAATTGTGTCTTTGGAGGCCAAGGGTATAAGCGTAACTTGAAGATTCGGTCATTAATGAGTCTCAGGTTTTATTCGAAAGGTTTTAAGGCTTGTGGTGTAGCTAGGAGTGTAGGGCTTATTGCCACCTATTCGTGGATATAAAGTTCGTTGGAAACGGACTTGGAACGAAGAAGTTATGGTACTTTGAAGTTGTTCGCAGAATTGGTCCATGAATGGAAGAGCTTGCATTTCAGCCCATGCATGCAAGGTGGCAGCCAGGTGAGTACACCCAGCATAATCTGGGGTACGCCCAGCGTAGTGCTGGTTAATGAATCACAGATGTTGAAGACGTACGCCCAGCGTACGTCCAGGATCTCCAAAACCCTAATTTTTAAGGTTGGCTCGCTATTTAAGCACCTTAAGTTCGAATGGGGTGCGCCTCCCTTTCATTCTCAGAGTCTGAAACCCTAAATTTGAGTGTTAGCTTCATCCAAGAGTGTTGTGAGCTTACTGGGTGCATTTTGGGTGGTTTTTGGTGCATTTCAAGAAGATGGAACTTGTTGCAAAGATGGGGATCAAGGAGGAGCTTGTGGATTTGGCATTTGGGACTCATTCTCAGCTTGATGAAGGTATAAAGCTTTGATCTTGATCATTTAATTCTTAGATCTCTTAGATTGGGTTTTGTGACCATTTTGGTCCAAAGGTTGAAGCTTTGTGGTTTAATCCGATTTCTAGGACTTGGAGTTGCTACTCTCAGTTCTAAATGAATCCCTAAGGCAGAAAGTTGCCACCTTTGACGTCCTAATGGGTTCATGCATGAGTTAAGACCATTTCCATGGAAGTATATTGTCATTTTTTTGGAGTTTGAGCTTATGTGGGTCATACAAAGCCATCAAGTAAGCAACTTTATGGTTTAAGACGTCAATAAGGACTTGGATCTGTAATTGTAGCTTATGGAGTAAAGTATTAAGCACTTAATGGGAAAGTGACTTAACAGGGGGATTACGCTGAGCGTACATGCAGAAACATCCAACGTACTCACCATTTAGCTTGTACGCTTTGCGTATATAGGAGTACGCCCAACGTACTCATCATATATGGGTTAGGGCTATTTTCGGCCTTGGTTTGGGCCATGCAAGGGATTTTGGTTCTTTGGGCCTTAGTGGGCCATCAGAAGCAGATAATGTATGCCAAGGAGATGTTCGGGCTTAAGGTAAAACCTATTTGAGGATTTGAGCCAAGTTTGGCAAATTAGGCCATTAATGGGCCACTAGTGGGCTTGGAAAGCCTACCTAGTGTTAGGCTTTTATTTTTGAATTAGACAAAAATGAAAAAATGGTCCCTGTGGTTTGTCATTTTTTGTGGATATGGTCCAAACCTTTTAAAAATTGGATTTCTGGTCCTTATTGAAAGGTTTGTTTGTGGAACAAGTCCCTGGGGTTAACAGCCGTTTGTTTGAGGCTGTTAAACCCCTCACGTGCATTGCACACGAGGGCATAAATGTCTTTTTACTTGAGGGACCATTTTTACAATTCTTGAAATAATATATAAAGACTTCCCCAACGTTCAAGTTCTTCCCCAAACGTTGTTCTGCAACTTTCAAGTTGTTCTTCATTCTCTCTTCCATCTCTCATCTCTCTTTGTTAACAGTCGGGGTGTCAGTTAATCACACGATGGTTCTCTGTTTTTGTGGTAAGTTTGCTGTTGTTAAATGCTCATGGACACCGAAGAACCCAGGCAGACGTTTCTATGCTTGCCCTCAAAAGGTAAAGAAATTCGTTTGCACCCATTTGATTTGTAATCAAATAACATTTGTTATTTTCCCCTTTTTGAAGGATTCTGCTTGTCGCTTCATCGGATGGGTTGATCCCCCCATGTGTGAAAGGTCTAAAGTCATTATTCCTGGACTATTGAGAAATATTAACCGAATGCAAGCTTGGTGTACAGCTCTAAAGATCATGTTGCTGGCTAGTTGGGTGTTTTTTGTGATTTTGTTCATAAGGTCTGTTTAGGTTTAGTTAATAGGTCAATGGGGTGGGTTTTTATTTGTTGAAGATCGATAAAAGTGTGGTTTTTTGGTGGATTAATGGTTTTTGGTACTTTGACCTAGGTTCTTTGTAGTTGTTTGTAAGGTCAAAGTAAGTTGTTTATGTAGTAAATGACTTCCTGATATAAATATGAATTTTATGGAATTGCTTATGTTGTTTGTAAGGTTATTTGTAGTTTTTGCTTATGGAATTGCTTATGTTGTTTGTAAGGTTCTTTGTATGAATTCCAATCAGTTGGTTGTACTTAACAACTGCTTTTTGTCCCAGCTTCTCATTTTCCAAATCTTCATTTTCTTCATCATCAAAGTCAATGGCAAGAAATTCGGACAACTGTTGATTTTTGTCTTGCTTTGACAAAAATGAATTTTATGGAATTGCTTATGTTGTTTGTAAGGTTCTTTGTAGTTTTTGTAAGGTGAAAGAAAGGTTAATGTGAATAATTGACTGTAATGGTTATAATAAACAATAATAACCAAAAACCATAATAACCAAGGCTGCAATTACATAATAGACTACAAACATATAGTGCAATTACATTATCCCAAAATATGCAACCATATAGACTAATACTTATCATACTAATGAAAACCAAAATAACCATAAGTCATAAGTTTTTTAACATCAAAACACTTCCAAAAGTAGCAAATAACATCTGCCAAAACAAACACAACCTTGATCTTCAACTTCCACCTAACTTCCACCTCCTTGACCTTTGCATGTCCTTGAGTTGTGACCTTTGTTTTTGCATTTTGCACATGTTACACTGACATATTTCCTTGTTAATTTTTGAACTCCATCAGGACCTACTTTACAGCCTTCTTCCCGACTTACACCATGAGTACCAGTCTGACTTTGACTCCCTCTTTGACTCTGACTCAATTTTTCATCCTCACTTTTCTTCCTCTTCTTTGTAGGCCTACCTATTTGCTTATGATGAATTGGAGGGATAAGTGTTGTGGGACACAAACTTTTAGGCCACATTATTCTTCCTTTTATGGGCTCTACCTTATAGGAATATGCATTCTTCCATGTATCCAACCAATATACCTTTTTGACCCACTTGTAAATGTCACCAACATCCTCTGAGTTCTTGGTCATTTCATTAAGGGTTGCAATGGCATGTTTACATGGGATGCCTATTAGCTCCCACTTCCTGCAAGTACATGTGTTGTTCCTAACATCTACAACATGTTGGTCTTGCCATGCCCCAGTGACTTGGTATTTCTCACCCCCATTCCACCTAGCAATGTAATGTGATGCATGAGACTTGTTTACATCCAATATGGTTGTTGCAGTGGGTGTTAAAGGCCCTTTTGCCTTGTCCATCACCTTCATAACATTACAGATTCTCTTCATCAGGTATTGTCTAATATACTCCAAACAACCTATGATAGGCTTATCTCTTCCCTTTATTATCTTGCTGTTAAATACCTCACAAAGGTTGTTTAACAGTATATCAGAGATTGCTCTGCCTGTTAAAAAAATTAACATATTCTTTTAAGTACAAGTACACATTTAACATGTAGTAATTTATGGTAATTTATGTACCTGTAAAATGGCTTCTTGCCCAGTGTTTTGGAGGAATCTTTCTAAGCCATTCACATGCCTCCTTGTCATAGTTGCTAAATTCTTTCATGCAATGCTCAAATTCAGGTACAGTGGTTGCAGTTGCACATCTCCATAAATGATCCTTGTACTCTTTCAATTTCCATTTCACTCTCATGTTCTGATGTATGTGCCTGAGACAATACCTGTGCTCAGCACATGGGAATAGTTGGGCTATTGCTGGTATTAAACCCTAGAACAATAACAAAAATTAAGTATTTAGTTTATATAATAATAAGTAATTAATAATACAAGTTAGAAAGAGATACCTTTTGTCGATCTGTGATAAAAGTAAAGTTAGAGTTTGAACCAAGATCCAAGTCTTCTCCTAAACACTGCAAGAACCATACCCAACTACTTTTGTTCTCTGTCTCAACAATGGCATAAGCAAGGGGGTAAATACCATTGTTAGAGTCCAACCCAACTGCTGTTAGAACCTGCCCAGGAAATGGTCCTTTCATATGCGCACCATCGAAACCCAAAAGATCCCTGAGGCCAGCCTTAAAACCTTTTTTCAGGGGACCTAAGCAAATGTAGATTCTTTTAAACCTCCTCGTTGGGTTTGATGGGTTTTGTTCACTGTAAACATCAATCTTGACAGTTGTGTCAACATTGGTTGCTTGCAATTCAAGGACATAGTCCCTCAAGATCTCATATTGTTTCGTATAGTCACCCTCCACGGTCTTAGTAGCAATAGCCTTGGCCCTGAATACTTTGTCAATAGAAATACCTACCTCGAAGTCCTTTTGAAGTTGTTCCTGCAATGCTCGAAGAGGAATCCCTGGATTCGTGTCGATTTGGTCCATGATTCGCTTGGATATAAAAGTAGCAGTGCAAGCTCTAATCTTCCTACTTTGAAGGCAAGTATGGTTGTCATTTAATGTCCTTACAAACCAGGGAGATTCTGTGTTTGACCTAGAAGCATGAAGGAACCAACTACAGTTTACTTTTTCTGAATTTACCTCTTTGCCCTTGGTTTTATTTTTGGGATTAAGGCCAACCACCCCACTTGCATTGATGACAGGGACTACACCTCTACACAATGCCCGAAGTCTAATCTTGTCATTCTTTTTATAATATAAATTCCTCCTAGTTTCTAGTGCGTGCATGTCAATTTTTTCTTTCAATTCTTTCTTTGATTTAAACTTTTGCCCAACATAAAAACTGGCCTTATGGACATTGCCAAGACTGCATCTTTTCTCCTTAGCTAGATTTTTAAGAACACATCTTCTTTTCCTTTCATCTTCTGACCCTTCATCTAAAGAATCCCATCTATCATTGTCAATGACTTCTATGTCCTCATGTTCATCATTTGTCCCAACCCCGTTATGAAACCCATCCATTTGAACACAACCATAATCCTTATCAAGATTGAGGTTAAAGTCAGTCATATCCACCTCCACTTCTGATACATTGTTTTCATCATCAACAAGTTCATCATATTGTTCTTCTGATTGTTGCCTAAGATCATCACTGTCAGCAGACTTTTCATGTTCAGACTGATGGTCTTCAACATTCTCATCTTCTGGTGGTTGATAATGGTCTTCAACATTCTCATCTTCAACATTCTCATGAGAAAAGTTCTCATAATGAAATTCATCATAATCAAAGTTATCATGGTCACCACCTTGATCTTGTACCACATCATCCATGTTAGCATGCTCAACCTCTTGATCTTGAACCACATCATTCATGTTAGCATGCTCACCAGCTTGATCTTGTACCACATCATCTAATTTAGGATTCTCACCACCTTGATCTTGTACAACATCATCCAATTTAGCATGATCACCACCTTGATCTTCTACTACATCATCCAATTCAACTAAACAAAGCTTTTTGGCACAAGAACTTTGACCAACTATTGAGTTCACCCTTCCATTTCTTCTATACTGTGGTGAAACTTGTGTAGGGACTTTGTCAAAGAGTATCAAGGACATATACCCTGCCAACTGTGTTTGATCATTAGCTTCATCTATCATTGGGGTTTTATCCTTTGCTGGTACTTGAGGTACATTTGCTTCTTTTGGAAGATCACCATCACAGAGCTCCTTAATAATAACTTTTTGCTTTCCTTTTGGAGACATAAAATAGGTCAGCAAATTAGTTTTTCCATGTTCTGTATACACTTCAATGACCTTGTTATCTCCAATATACTGAGCCAAATTCAAGACATCATTATCATTCCCTAAAGCTCTGAGGCCAAAATCCAAGTCTTCATGAGGAATCCTAAAATGGTAATATATTACTGGGGGTACAGAGTAACCTAGCTCTAGCATCATTGCGTCTAGTTCATGAACTGAGAACTCATCAATGTCTACTAAATCAATATATCGCACTTCACCTTTAACATATTTCGTGTTTGGAAGCTTCGTAAAATTTCCACCATGGTGTAGCTTTATGTTGAACATTGTTGGTACACGCTCTACAAGATACAAAAAACATTAAGTAAGAAATTATCAAATGTTTGTATTTTTGGCTCTGTTCTTCAGATCATCAAGAAACCTAACACAATTTCGTAAACAGAGGATAAGTGAAACTAACCATATTCATTTGTGATGTCATACGTCTCGCCTTTTGGCCTAATCGCCCACATTACGAACACCATTTACAGTTGAAAAGCAAAAACAAGTAAACACCTTGGACCAAATCTTGATTAGGGTTTTTGCGTTCAAAATGAATGACGAAGAAGATGGAAGTGGAAGAGATAACTAAATATTTTGTGATTTTGTGTGTAATATGACGCTAAGACTGTAACAAGCGGGTTTATTTCAGGAATTGTAAAAATGGTCCCTTAAGTAAAAAGACATTTATGCCCTCGTGTGTAATGCACGTGAGGGGTTTAACAGCCACAAACAAATGGCTGTTAACCCTAGGGACTTGTTCCACAAACAAACCTTTCAATAAGGACCAGAAATCCAATTTTTAAAAGGTTTGGACCATATCCACAAAAAATATCAAACCACAGGGACCATTTTTGCATTTTTGTCTTTGAATTAAGCCTAACTTTGGATCATACTGGGCTAGGGGTAGAATGGTCATTTTACCCCCATGCATGGATTAAGCATTATGGTTTGGGACCCAATTGCTAAATTGGGTATATTGTTTGGTTGAGGTAGCTCGGGAAGTTGGCAAGGAAGTAGCAAAGGAATTCGTGCGGGAAGCTTCGACAGTGAGTCTTCTCACCATACCAATGGGTCTCAGGCACCAAGGCCGACCCATTTTTATGATAGTTGGTATACATGTTGTGTAGAGTTGTGTGGCATATTTATGCAGTGATACGTGGTAGATATAGCTTTTATAGCTAATGGTATCGATAGCCTTTGTTGCTAACGGTAGAGATAACCATTGGGGGCTAACGGTAGAGATAGCCTTTGGGCTAACGGTAGACATAACCTTTGGGCTAACGCTAGCGATCGCCTTTAGGGCTAAGGGTAGAGATAGCCTTTGTGGCTAATGGTAGAGGTAGCTTTTATAGCAAAGATACGTGGTAGAGATAGCTTTTATAGCTAATGGTAGAGATAGCCTTTGTCGCTAACGGTAGAGATAGCCTTTGGGCTAACAGTAGAGATAGCCTTTGGGCTAATGGTAGAGATCGCCTTTGGGGCTAAGGGTAGAGATAGACTTTATGGCTAATGGTAGAGATAGCCCGATAGCTAATTGATATGTGATACGTGGTAGAGGTAGCTTTTATAGCTAATGAATATGCGATATTTGGTAGAGGTAGCCTTTGTAGCTAATTGTTCTGTATTATGAGGTAGAGGTAGCTTTTATGGCTAATTGATATGTGGTATGTAGCGGAGATGGCTTTTATAGCTAATATGATATGTGTTGTGTGGATTGTGTGTGGGGTATGCTCTGGGGGACTCACTAAGCTTCATGCTTACATGTTTTGTTTATGGTTTCAGGTATCATCGTTTTGGAAAAGGAAGGGCTCGGATTGGTCGCAGCGCACAACCTATGATTTCCGCAATGAATGATTTTGGGATGAACTCTGATAAATGTTTTACTCAATGATGATTTGAATTGTTAGAGTAAATGGTATTAATGTTTTAGCTATATCAAAAATGAAATTTTTACCTTTGATTTTGGGTCGTTACAAGTTGGTATCAGAGCCTTGGTTTGAGGGATTCAGACATACTTTCGGGTTTGTCTGAACTCAGACTGAGGATCTGTAAATCTTTTAAAAAGAAAAATGTTTTAAGTAAAGAATTTCTAAGACAAGAAAGGGTGTGGTGCATGCAATCAGCCAAGCTCGAGTAAGTTTCCCCAAAATACCCACATTTGTTATATGTTATGATTTGATTATGAACCTGTGAATCGCATGCTAGTTAGTACTAAGGGAGATGCCTATATATGTTGTATGAGCTGATAGATTTGCATGCTAGTGCTGAGCAGTCAACAATAGGTTGCCCTGATATGTTGTGCTTGTAGCCACGCGGATATTGAATGTCATGCTGGAATAAGAATGATAATTGGTATTTTTAACTGCAATGTGTATGTTTTGAAAATTGTATATGGTTAGGATCTTATAGCCTTACAATAGTTGATTTAACCTTATTTCTTGTGGTCTTAGGGTAGAGTCTATTATTCGACAGTCTATTAGATCGTGTTCTGTGTATAATTTGCATGCATAAGGCAACCAGCAGCGAGGGTGGATGTGGTTAGCAGGGGTTGTGGTATATGGGTTAAATGTTCTATGATAGTTTGTAGGTCGGAGATTACCCTAGGGTAAGCCTAGGATGAGGTTAGCGACAGGTGTTACCTGCTTGATGGATGTATGTGTGGATAGATTGATTTTCCTAGTATATGTTGGTTAGATTTTCCATTGTCTGAATGTTGCTTGCTTTGTGATTTGTGGGACTCTTAGTAATGTGAGCTAGCTATTAAGTAAATATGCTAAGTCACATGTGGCACATGCTGGATAATCTCAGAGAGATAGACTTGACCCTATTACACAACTCTCGTTGGCATCTAACCGTTCTAGGGAGGAGTCTATTACTTGAAGGATTATTTGATCTCTGTTGCATGTGGCTATATTCATGAGGTAGCTAGGTGACATTACTAGGAATCTTTCAGAAAATGAGGACTGGTTAAGTGCGGGAACCTAGGAAAGCCTAGGATATGCTCCAATGAACTTAGTGAGGCAATTCAGTGAAGTTGGGAACCTAGGGGAGCCTAGGAGGTGCTACAGTAGAGATCGTTTTGCTGTTTAGCAAACATTTGGTATACCAGTGAAGTAAGTGACTTAGAGGATTCGAGAGGATTCTTGAGGAAAGTATGGATAGGTGTGAAAGGTAGTATTGGGCCCGTACTACTGAAAGCACATGATCTATACTTGTATCAGTGAGATTCTTGGGGAATTTGAGAAGCTTATGGGAAGCAGAATCCTTGGTTATGCCTTGATCATGGGAATAACTGCTTTGAAAAATGAGGACTAACACGCATGGATGGGACCAGGGTTTGGTCCCGACTCTGGTGGGGAGCCAGTTAGCAAAAGGACGACATGACGAAGTTTCACTCCAAGGTTTGGGCTATCATTGGGATCAGAATGAGTGCTACATTTATGTTCTTAGGGTGGTCAGGGTACCACAGAAGGAGGTGGTCAAAAACCCTTCAGATGTTCGTGGATATGCTATCTGCAGCCATTTTCGATGGATACCGGGTATTTGTATCGCTTGGGGAATTGTGATGAGTTGGATCTCAGGTTGGTTTTCTGCTATTGTCTGGTTTAGCAAGGGTTGTCAGATGCCTTTCAGCATGTCGAGGAATCTTTGATGGATCTTCGAACAAATGTATCTTGCGGAGCGGGTTCCGCATGTTCCGTAATTGCTATGAGTCGTTGTCAGAATCCGTTCAGTGATCTGGGTTGCTATGGGTGTAGCAGGATTGGCCATAGGGAGCAAGCCAGTTACTTTTCATTGTGTAGATGACAAGGAGGTCGACTGTCAGATGATCAGGGAGGAGCAGTGAGTGTACCTGCTCCATCCATTCTCAGGGTTGGTTCAAGGGATTGAACGAGGGAGTATGGCTAGTTTTTAGTAGCCTTAGTATTTATGCTTTGGAGGAGCCATCGGGATTGTCGGGGGAAGAGAGAGTTATCGCTAAGGTTTTGGTTGGACTATCCGTTCGTTGGACTCCGAGATCTGAGGGTGATGTCACTTTTAAGCATTTGAAGTCATTGATGTAGTTGGGATACAAGAAGTGGTAGCTGAATTTCAGGAAGTATGCTATTTGAGCAGGGCTATTCATGGTGTCTAGCTTTGGTAAGCACCTATCGTCAGCAAGGTGAGCATTGGAACGTAATGAGGATTACGAATCCTTCAATTCTCGTGTGCCGAGAGGACTTAGTTGAATCTAAGTGGGGGAGAGCCGTCCAAGTATCCATGTTAGAAGCAAGGATGAAAGTGTAACGCCCCGTTCGTGGTACGTATTTATTTTTGATTAAATGTTCTTTTAGGAAGAGCTACTCGGCGAGTTGTAGCCCTAACTCGCCGAGTAGATGTCGAGTGGATGCGGGCTTTAAGTGGAAGAAAGGAGAAGTTGAAGAGGTCAAGGAGGGGGACTTAGATCTAGAACACATTCATTTGTGGTCATCCATTCTAGTAATAAAGTTTCCATCTTGGTTATTGATCTATTAGATCTTGTTTGTCCCTAAATTGTTGCTTTTAAGCCCTAAAACCCCAAATTCTTGAAGAGAAACCCTATGGTTGGGTTATACTTCAGATCTGGACTCTCATTACCTTCTTGAAGTGTTAAGTTTCAGCCATATTGGTGATTAAGGTCCCTCTTGAGCTTAGAACCCCATTAAGAGCTTAGTTTGGACATTTGAAGCCTCTAAAGCTATGCATGCGCGTAAAGTTTGCAACTTTACGTGATAAGCATGCCCTAGAAGCCTAGATCTATGGTGTGGAGCCGCTGCATGGCTCAAATCAGGTCTGTATAGAAAAAGGACTGAATGAACTCGGCGAGTAGAACGATGGACTCGGCGAGTCCTATGAAGATATCTGTGGACTCAGCGAGTTGGATGAGCAACTCGGCGAGTTCGATGAAGATTGCCTTAGACTCGACGAGTTGTTCTTCAACTCGGCGAGTCAGATGAACTTGGACTTAGTATGTATGCATCGAGGAAGAATGCATCGAGTCTTCGCTAAGCTCGACGAGTAGAAACGGGTGTAGAACTAGAACAGATGGAAGAGACTCGACGAGTTGGTGAGCCAACTCGGCGAGTCCGGTCAACTTGGAAGTTGACTTTGACCAGGATGTTGACTTTGATCGGGGGATAAAATAGTTATTTTACCATAAGATTACTTATCAGTATTTGACTTAGTGTTTATGGAAATTGTAGCCGGGGAATTCTGGTTCAGCAGTTAGGCGCTCAGCAAGCAGACTTTTCGAGGTGAGTTACCTTCCAGTAGCGGTGGGTCTAAGGCCACAATGTTGGCCCACTAGTAGGAATTGAATGAGTAGATGATTGTCTCTGTGATATTCATCTAGGGTTGCCACTACTTGTGTTATGTTTATGTGTTTGTACAATATGATGTTATGTGCTAGCAATAGTAGGGGAGATAGTCCCCAGGTTACCTGTCGATAGGGCCGAGGGGCAGT